GCCTGTGTGTGTGTGAGTATGTGAGTATGTGTGTATGTGTGTATGTATGTGTGTGTGTGTGTGTGAGTATGTGTGTATGTGTGTGTATTTGTGTGTGTCCGTATGTGTGTATATGTGTGTGTATGTGTGTGTGTGTGTGTGTGTGTGTGTGTGTGTGTGTGTGTGTGTGTGTGTGTGTGTGTCTGAGGTGAAACACCAAACCAATGTGCCAAAATCTGGACAGAAAAGATTTATCACATCTTATCAGTAATTATGGGGAAGAGAAGAGTGCTCATCACCCTCGTTTAGTGCAAAGGTCAAAACGAGGGACAAGAGGGAAGCTGGGTAGACCATGATTGAGGAAGTCTGACCTCACAAAGTCCTATGAGAATGCGGTCAGCCAGCAACATCCAGGGGCTGGCCCGGGCACAGACAGGAGCCACAAGGTTGAGAATGGCCACCGGTAGCATGGTGAACATTATCACTACACGTGCCCCATAACGCTCACTCAGAACACCAGCTGGGACCTTGAAACAAAAGATAGAACCCAAAATACATTGATAAATAATAACAAATTGATAAATTACAAGTTATCGATCCCCGAGGGGAGGTTTGGGAAACATTAGAAGTACATCCATACACGTTCACATAGGGTGGCTTTTAAGGACAAGCGGGCTAACCCATATTTCCGGGGTTTCCAGAAATCTTGACCTACACCAAAAGTGGCCATTGCCCTACCTATAGGAAAAGTTTGGTTTCATTGGTGTGTATATTTTTTTGGTTATATAGAAAACTCTCCTTGTCTTTTAAATAAATTGAACAAGGGGCAAAAACTTTACCTTCGATTTTCTCAAAACAGCATTTTTCCGGGATAGCCCCCTTGTGCTTAAAAGCGACCATACAGTCAAAATTGTCCCAGATGGACACCAAAATTGGAGGAGAAATGTGGTTGTCTTAGACGGGTGGGTATCTTGGACAGTGTCATTAAAACACAGAAAACATGAGAGGGAAGGGGGAGGGGGGGGACGTGGCAATTTGTACAGGTGACTATCATGGTCAGGTGGTCTTTAGAGCAGGTTCGACTGCCTTATTAATGAAAATGCCATACTAGCTTCTACACTGCTACACTGCAGCGTCATTGTTTAATTCCAGACCGTATGTTCAAAGACATTTTGTATATCTTGTATAGCTATTGCATTAAGTATGTACATTTTACTCTTAACACGCATCCCGTGTATCCCATATTGACTAAAACACACTGATAAGTATTTACAATAATAGCATTAAAAAGACAGATGACCCCGCGTGCGGGCGCCGAGACAGAGAGACAGAGAGGGAGGGGGGGGAA